TCTGTTTGCTGCTGCAGGGCATTCTAACTAAATCAAAAGGATTTTGAGGATAGAATGTTTAATAAATTTTATTATTATTATTTTGTAAAGTATACAATAAGAACCTTGTAATCCTTCATAAATTTATCCAGATCAGGTATCAAATCGCTCACTAAGTTCATTGCAGTTTTATACTGTGCTATTAGTTTTGTGCAAGAAGGAGTGTATCTAAACGAAAAAAATATATTAAAAATATATAAAGGTATATTTAACGTTAAATCTGCGGAAAAAAAAAAAATACTCAACTCAGCAGCACTTACGGAATCCCTAACATAAGCCTTCTCTAAGTACTCCATCGTTATGATTATAGCATAGACATCTGCTAAATTTTCATACTTCTCTCGTTCCTTATTATTCGCGTATAATTTGACTTCCTGGAACAAATAAAATTTTAGTAAAAAAGAATGACACGAGATTGCATTCTTTTCTATTCTACCTCGTCTAGTATATAATCTACGTATAATTAACGAAGATGAGGTTATTACATATGTTTCAAAGTGTTGTGCAGATAAAAAAGATACAACTCACTAGGTTCTGAAGAATTAGGTGAAATTGGTGTTCCGAATTCTGACAGATAGCTAAAACTTGCTGGTGTATTCGCCATATTCTTTTTGAATAAATTATCATCATCTCGTAATATTTATATTAAAGAAAGTATCATGTGGCATTTAAACACGTGCTTGGGTATATTTTATTGAAAAATTATTTTTTAATGTAGATTATCAAAATCGAATTTCAGAAAGTATTTTTTTTTTAAAAAAGAAATGCCGAGTTTCGATTTAACTAAACAACTTCCCCAAACGGAAGACGAGATCGATTTTACTGATATTGAAGAAAAATATCAAGTCCCTATTGAAGAAGGTTTTGATACAATCATTGTTGTAGATAATGTGCCCATAGTTGATGACAGTAAAAAAGAGAAATTGTTGAAATTAATAAGAAGAATTTTCAGAAATGCTGGCGAGATTAAGGAAGGAGGCATTGACATGCCGATGGAAGTTAACCCAGAAACTGGAGTTTTGACTTCGAAAGGGTAAGAAAAAAAATGATTTTTTGTTATATTGTAGATAGATTTATCACTTATAATTTTTTTACGTTCTAGGTATATTTTTATAGAGTTTGAGACATCAGAACAGGCGAATATGGCAATAAAACAGTACGACAGATATCCAATGGACAAGACTCATTATCTTGCAGTTAACAGATTCACAGAAATTGATAAATATTCACAAATTGAGGAAGAATATAAAGAACCTGAAGAGGAGAAATTCGTGGAAAAGGTAATTTTCAATTTATGTTATATTGCATGAAACGATATTAATTACATATGTTAATAGGAACACCTGAGAAGTTGGCTTACTGATTCTCAGGCGCGCGATCAGTTTGTTCTTTATCGCGGCGAAGATGTAATTATACTTTGGAACAGGAAGACTGAACCACCAGAAGAAATTTATAAGAGAATGGTAATCCACTTTTGAACCTGCCAAATAATTTATATCTAATATTTATATTAATATTAATTGCATTTTAACTGCAGTATTGGACCGAAACATATGTACAGTGGTCTCCTTTGGGAACTTATCTTGCAACTTTTCATAGACAGGGTATTGCATTATGGGGAGGGCCTAGCTGGAATAAAATTATTCGATTTGTTCATCCTGGAGTTAAGTTAATAGATTTTTCGCCTAATGAAAGATACCTCGTTACATGGAGCAATGAGCCAATTACACTTGGATCCATCGGGACTCCTTTTGGACCAGATGATGAGGGTAACCAAATCATTATATGGGATGTTCATTCCGGTATACTCTTAAGATCGTTTCCTTCTTCGTCGAATACTGAGGGAACTCCCAACAAAATTAAGTGGCCTATATTTAAATGGTCACCATCTGACAAGTATTTTGCACGTGTTACTTTGGGACAACAAATTTCTGTTTATGAAACGCCCGGTATGGGATTAGTTGGCAAAAAAAGTATTAAGATCGATGGAGTTGTCGATTTTGAATGGGCGCCCGCATCTGATAGCGAGAAAGTTGGAGACAAAAAATCAGGGGAGGAATTACTTAGTTACTGGACGCCGGAAATTGGTAATCAACCCGCTCGCGTGACTTTATTGAATATTCCATCGAAAGAAATTGTGCGAACAAGAAACTTGGTCAATGTTTCAGACGTATGTATCACCTATCAATGTTATCTCATATTTTAACATGGTTGGAATACTGGAGAGTGTATGCATTAATCGCTTATGTCACTCATCAATAATTCTAGTGTAAGATGCATTGGCAGTCTAATAGCGACTTTTTATGCGTTAAAGTGGATCGTCACACTAAAACAAAAAAGTCTACCTTCGCCAATCTTGAAATTTTTAGAGTTCGAGAAAAGGATATTCCGGTAGAAGTTATTGAGGTTAAAGGTATAAATGGAATTAACTTTATGGATATTTAATATATGTTTATGTGAACAATATGCTCACCTATAATACCACCTCAGTCTAGTCCGTTTTGTTAAACTTGTAAATTTCATTTATACTAATTTTTAGATACGGTAATTGCATTTGCATGGGAACCCAAGGGTGAAAGATTCGCCATTATAACGACAAATGATCCCAGTTACAACCAACCTACACAAGCGGGATTTAGGACTAATGTATCATTTTATTACCTCGAGAAACCAAAGCCCACTAAAGGTGGTGAAACAGTTGGAACTGCTAATTTCAAACTTATAAGTTAGTAACTGCAGCTTCTATAAATATTTAACTTTGTCCGATAGCATCAATCTGATAATTTCTATTTAATAGAAACACTCGAGAAAAAAACATCAAATGCTATATATTGGTCTCCTCAGGGTCGTCATGTAATTCTGGCAACTCTTCGTTCAACAACCTCATTCGATTTAGAATTTTGGGATTTGGATTTTGAAGGAACTACTGATCCAAAAGATTCTGTTAAGACAGACCCAGCTGCGTCCCTGCAACTTATGAGCACGCAAGAACATTATGGTATTACCGACATTGAGTGGGATCCTACTGGTCGCTACGTAATTACGAGTTCTAGTTTTTGGAGACATTCTGTAAGTATTGTATATTCGGATAATTCAATGGTCGTGCTGTTCTTAAATTAACTACTTTCCTCTTGGATTAAAAATTAGATGGAAAATGGGTACACTATATGGGACTTTAAGGGTACGCAATTGCAGAAACATTTAATGGATAAATTTAAACAATTGCTATGGAGACCTCGTCCAAAAAGTCTATTGACCATTGAGCAAAAGAAGAAAATCAGGAAAAACCTTAGAGAATATTCTAAACAATTCGATGAAGAGGATGCTCTTGCACAAACTTCTGTATCCAAAGAATTGCTGGCGCATCGTCGCCGCCTTGTTGATGAATGGAATGCATGGCGCAAGCGGGTTGAAAAAGAATTAGCTGAGGAAAGAGAAAAGGCTGGCCTCGAGCCAATTTCAAAACGAGATAATGAAAATGTCGAGATTATTGAAGAATGGATTGAAGAAGTTGTGGAAGAGACTGAGGAGATTGTTGAAGAATAGAAAATTCAAATACGCTGCTATATTTTGTAATTAAAACGTACGCTATTATTATTATTATTGTATTTTTGCGTATATTATACACGCAATTCATGAACAAAACAAAACAAATTCTAGGTTTATAATATAGTAATAATGATTGTTAAATATCAAAATAATGTAATCTGTAAGTTTTTTAATTATTTTTGTTAATAAAAAAAATATTATTTAAAAGCTGCTCAATAAACAGAGGTACATTATGGAACTAAGTATGACTTTTTTATATTTTAGTATTGATTATCAACATAATATTTTGAAATTTGATGAATAGTGATATACAATATATAGTATATATTCAAATTTATAAAATTTATAAATTTTATTTTTTATTTTTTTAAACAAAATATTTATTTGGTTATTCATTTATGTATGTTTTATTATTTTGGAGTTAAATAATATCTTTAAATTTTATTTATTTTTATTTTTTTAATTAATTTTTTTTTTTTTTTTTAATCCTTGCCGTCAATTCAGGTACCTGTTTTCATTACCTACTAGTCTTCTGGTGTTTTTTTAGGATACAGGGGTGATGACGTCAGTCCTAATTACTCGTCTTAGGCCTAAGCCTCTAAGTATAGACAGTGGGGGTGAAAAGTTGCTATTTCAAGGCAAGCAGACCTTTGCTATCATGCCAGGATAATCATTGCTTGCAGCCACCACTACAGTATTTCAACCGTTCAGTTTAGCCAAGACTTACTAGGATTTAGTCAGTGAGATATCATTGGCAAAATGAGGGTACACCAGTACACCAAATTCGTCTGGGAATTGGATCCAGCCTCACCCTTCCTAATCTAACCTAGCAACACATGCGGGGGGTTATAATTTATGGAGGCATGCAGTCAACCGTCACAAGTGTACCCTTTAGGATAGAACATCCCGTGATACAAGTGATCTTCTGCAATCCCGACTGGATCCTCACTACTAACGAATATGTAAAACTCTTACTGATAGTTGTGCAACTAATGGTTTTAGCCATCTGTACCTTTCCTTCCACTACTGGAAAGATTTCATAAAACTTCTTTCCCCTTTTGGAGGTATTTCCTGGGCAATACTTGATCAGAAAGTTTTACCAATCAGATCATCTATCTTTTGACCTATGGAGTGTAATCTATTCATAAGGCTTCTTAATCACTGAAACAACCCAAATTGCTCTCTATTACAAGTTACAGAAGTAATGACACAAAGTCTCATTTTTAGGATATGTGAATTGCCCCCAGCTGGGGTTGAACCGTGGTTCATAGGTTAGCCCTACCCTACCTTAGCCCACTGGACTATAACCAGATAGGTCTACAATCTTCTTGTTTCTTTTATTTTCTTTAATAAAAATTTATATTATATTATGTTTTTAGATTAAATATCAGCTTATTGTTCTTTTTTTTTTTTTCTTTCTGTTTATACTTTTCTTTTCTTCTTATTGTTAAAATTTTATATATTTATAGTTTAAAAATTTTTAAAGTTTTTTTATCATTTAGCTTATAATTGTTCTTAATATATTTTAATTTTTGTTTAATTGATTTGTTTTACCAGACTAATTAGATTCTTTTCACATATTCTCTTAATTATATATTTGACTATTTTTTCTAAATAATTTAATAATATGTTCAAGTTATATCTTTCAATTGATTGTCTTTTTATTTTTTTACTTTGTTAAATATTTTTTCTTTTAATACTTGCAAATATATATTCTAATTTTATTTCTATAATATTTACTAAAAATATATTCAGTAATTTCATATTTCTTATATCCAAAGCATATATTGTCTTTATATATATCTGGTTTTTTTTTTAATTTGTTTTTTATAGAAAGTTTTTTGTTAAGCAGTTTATATTGAAATATTTTATTGTTTTAATCTTATTAATTAATCTAAAAGCTTGTAATTTTTAATAGTAATAAATTTGCATATGTTTTTTTTAATATATAATTTTTTAATCTTTTATTTTAAGCTATATTTTGTAATTTTTTTATATATCCCATATACTAATTTATTTGTTAATTTGCTATTGTTTTATAAAATTATTGGTTTTTATATTTAGATTCTTGCAAGCCCAATAAAACTATAGTGTATTGATAAATTATTAATATATTGGTACTAATATTATAGATTCAATTTCCAGTAATAATAGCAAGTTATGAACCTATTTGATAAGCTACTTCAGTAATTAACTATATGGTACAAGTTTCCATATCCAGTAATCCTAGTTATAATCTTATTAACCTAATATAGGGTTTACTTAGAAATGATTAAATATATATTTTTTGTTTATAAGATTTAGTATAGAATGTAATAGATTATTAATAAACTATCACTAAAGTATCATATGTGTTAAAGAATATTTATTAGTTAGTCCAAGAAGAAATTAAATTCTGCCTAGAATTTGAAGACAACATATTGTTAAACCTAAAAGTTTAATTTTTCTGAAATAGAAAATTTCACATCAAACATTGATCTAATACATTAATTCGCTAATAATTGACCTATAGTATTTTTATCCACTGAACAATTTTATTTAGAACCCAGAAAAGATTTCAGTTATTACTTTTGTGATAATCAAGGATATCGATCAAATGTTTATAGTATCCAATTAAAATATATTGTTATATCACATAATCAAGTAATAATTCTTTAAGTTATGAACACGAAGAATTAAAAAACATGTTACAAATTAGCCTTTCATTAACTTTTCCATATTTGTATTTTTGTTACTCTCAATAATTTAGAACATCAATTATATTTTTTATTTATTTTCATATAAATAGAATAATCATATATTTTGTGTATAAGAAAAAAATGATAGAGAAATTTTAGGAAAGTTGTAAAGGAAATAGAGAAAGACTTGTAGAAGAATTAAAGATGGAATTAATAGAATTAAGAGTATTATAATGTTTTAATAATAAACTGTTCTTTACAAATTATCACAATTATATTTGTCTTCATACAATTATAATTGTTATGTCTCTTGTCTTATGATCTTTGAAACCTCAAGTATCTTCTCTATAAACTATAGTATACCACATTGGCCTCTGCTATTCAAAGTGTCTCCCTACTATCAGTTCTCTATCTTATGCTGATCTTTGAGATTGGATTAGCATATAACAAATTAATGGTAATTGTGAGATTGTGACTTGCCGATTTTTGCAACTTGTCGAAAATAGAACTTTCGCTAATTACCCTCCTTACAAGACTGAAGAAATGATGACCAATTCCACTTCAACAATAATACCTGGAAGAAATTCAATAGTTAATATATGTCGAGTGGAAGAAGAGACATCATTTCAGCTTAAAAAAAAGATCTGACCAATGAAGGGAGTAACAGAATGGCTCCAGGAAGAAAAGTGATAAAGACAAAAATGATTGTCATATAAAATCGACAGTCTATAGTAAGAAAGAAAAAATTTAATGACATTGCTACAACGCCTCCATACTGTAACCACACTGCCCAAGAAAAGAAAAAACCAAGAAAAGCCCACTCAAAAATGTATAAAAATCTATCTTCTCCTTGCTAAATACTCTGTGGAAATGTACAAGGCCAAAGACAGTGTACCGTATGTTCAGGATCACCAAAGAAGTAACAGTGGTCCAAAAATTAAAAAAAATAAAAAAATAAAAAAAATTGTTAATGATATCTTTCGTTGCAACCTCCTCACCAATTTATTCCCCACTACTTACTATCAAAAAAACTTTCCCTTCAACCCATCTTAAGAGAAACCTATCTTCCCTAATATATCAAATGCCATGCATGAAGTTGAAGGTAAATTGCCATAGACTTGAGAAGTGATGGCATGCCACTATGAAAAATTGGCTAGAAAAAAAGAGAGATTAAAGGCAACAATGAATTAATAACAGTTGCCTAGAGAAAAAAAAATATAAATAAATGATAAGCAAAACAAAAGAAATACCACTTATCTAAGAACATTAATCCCGACAAATATAACAGGATACTGATGAGTGTTCATGGTGGAATTCGACACCATGACGTGAAATTAGGAGCCACGAAAAAAACTCCCAGAAAGAAAGAATGACACTAGTATCAGCCATTTACAAAAGAAAAGAAAACTAACATCTTGCTTGTGAGATGACATATCGTCATCTCTGATGAATAACGCCGGGATACTAACGATCATAAAGAAACATCATGATGCTGCAAGAGAGACTATAAATAAGTTCCTAAAAAAAAAAGAAGAACCATCCATAAACAATATGACAGAAACCCAGAGGCAAAAGAAGAGAAACTTACCTGAAAAAATTCAATAGCCAGGACCAAGGATGTTGATCACCTATGGTCAAAGAGAACTCACAGATGGTGAATTGGACGTTGAGAACAAAAACTATAAAAAAAGAATAGTAAGTAGGATTCAAGATGCCAAGGGATAATGCTAAAAGAACAAAGAAGTACTACGAATGTACATAGATTACTATACATGTTGCTGAAATTCGTAGATCCTTGACGCAATTGACGCAATTATTTGACGCAATTAATTGAGTCAC